ACCACTGGTCTAGTTTGACTCATCAGGAAAAAAAAACTTGGGGGGATGAGCAAGTTTTATATCATGGCATCATGAATGTATCAACTGATAGAAGAATACTCTTCTCCTTTGGACAGTTTCAATAGATTTTAAGTCAGCATTTGACCTGAACTGGAGAGATAGTTTATGGCAAAAACATTAGGATACTAACTCTGGCAAAAATCTGTTGATTCTTATCACCAGTCTTTATGATTAAATTTATTACAAGTGAGATCTAGTCATAGAAACCATTTTGACTACGTCAATACCAACACATAGTGAAATCAAGCAACTCAATAACACTTGCTGAAATAAATTCTCATCCACTTAAATTGGCAGGTAGATCAATTTTACTTTAGTGCTTCTGTGTTTTGTTATGTGTGAGGTGACTATTCAGAGTTTTGGATAATTTTGTTTGCAATGGTAAATATATGACTCCTTGTCTTATATTATGTTCATTTAGTTTAATATTTGGTCAATTTCAGTTAAGTTCTGTAAGTTATAAGTTAGACTGATTTCATTTATTTCATGTTTATGTNATGTTTGTCATTTTTGTTTTTCTGTGGAAACTGCCCTTAGTCTATTTCCTAAATCTTATGCAGGATTCATTGACGAAGCCCCTGTCCAAATACATTGTTACACTACACAGATCTTGTTGTTTGATACCATTTCAACTGTCATGACTCTGAGGGAAATCCGGGGTTTATAGTTTTCATTCGTTATTAGATTTTCCTCCCAAGGAACTCCAGTGTTGCACTTCAAAGTTGTGAGCTAGAGTTCTCTAACAGGTGGATTCCAAGTACCTCAAAAATTCACAAATCTCAGGATTACATAAGATAGAGCCATAGCAGAGAGATCTCTACTGGCCTTAATGACATAATGGATTTCCCTAACTGGTCACAAGGCAGATTTTGACTCCAATGAGAATTGCAATATAGTATATATAATGTGCATTGTATTATATCTGAAGTCCATAGAACTGTTTGTGGATACTAAATCAAGTATATTCTACAACACTCAAACTCTCAGGAGTCATAAATACACATGTTCTAGTGATGTAAATGTTTGCATTAAAATTTTGTCAGCCCTTTGTGAATAACATAACAAAAAGTGAAACAATACAAATAAAACAGATAATTTTGCTCCAGATTTGCCTATTACAGAACGTACATGACAGGTGCTTGAATGTCAGACGACAATGTGGACAAATAATCCTTTTTTTAGGCTGGGTTCTGCATGAATTCTGCAACTGAAATGATCCTGGGGGACTAACATATCCTATTTTCCTTGATGAGGATTTAAACTGTCCAATTAAAGATCTTTTAGAAGGAACCAAACATGGAGATCCCCAGATGTCCAATCCATATCCTGGCAGCCCAGTCCAGCATCATCTGGAAAACTAAGTAATTCTTTCTTTCAGTTTTGGTAGGATTATCCAAAAATCAGCCTATAAATCTATATAAAATTTCTGACTGTTTGTGACTGCATCGTGGGAAAACAGATTTGAATTTCCTCCAATGTCTTATGTTATGTCTGGGACAGTCTGACTTAAAATACAGGCTATGTAGCACAAATATATTTTACTTTGGGAGCCTAGGGGCACTCCAATTATATTTTCATTCAAACATAGCAGCGTGTTTGGCAGAAAATTAGGAAAGACATGCTCTGTCAAGGGCAATGGAGACTGATGTGCAACAAGAGGGATGTTTGTGCCCCCAAGAGAGATAAGCACTCATTCATTCGCCAGTGCAATTGAAACTGAACAGTCATTAATAATCGTTAATGAATCTCTTGAATAGTACTGGATTCCATAGCTAGAATTGTCATAAATAAAACAAAGTAGTTGGGAACTGAAGTTCAAAAGTACAAGTGTTTTGAATGTTCTTTCTAACATTTATCATAACCCTGGCCACACAAAATTTGGTCTTCCCTGTATTTACTGTTGGAAAAATGTGAATACATATATTCCCACTGTGTCTATTCATCTAGCAAACTGCTTTTTAAAAATTAATTATATTAATAATGTTATAAATACATTAACCTTGCAAATATCATACAACAATCCACCTCCATCTTGTGAAACATTCTGATACGGCAAGGGGAGAACAATGCAGTAATTCCCATGTTGTAATCACCTCATTATCCAGTCTAATCTGTGCCTTCCTCGCTCCAAGTTTTTTCAGGGATCGCGGACGAGAGCCTGAGGCTTCCTGCTGTAGAGCATTTTCTGTTTTTGACTGAAAGGGGGAAATC